TCACACAGATTTTTATGCGTTAATTTATGATCTCCAGATCGTTTAAATTCACGATAAAAGCAATAGTTCGATTTTTCATAGCAAATCAATTCGTATTACAAGCGTTAAATTTTATCGCCACTCGTTACACAACGTCGTAAAGAATAACATTTGCTGTAATCAGTTTCCTGATGACTAACGCAGAAGTCGGAGTTAACTCAAAAATACATCGGATGATCGATAGAATTTCCCGGAGTTTTCCTACCATTTCCAGCAGAAAGAAGCAATTTGAGTTGTATCCAGTAATGATAACCTTTAATTATATTTCAAGAAGGTTACAGGCATCTTATTTACTAAAAAATATACCGAGTGACGTGTGACACAGACGCTTAGCACATTCCCTCTTTTTTCTGATTTCGAACTATTTTTATAAAATTCTGAATATTGAATATGCTCACAAAGATATTTTTTTGAATTCAATAGTACCCTTTAGTTGACATTTGAATTATGGATTGGAACAAATGGCTGTCAGTTGACCTGCAAGATCACCCTACTCAACCACTTTAGACCTCTTTAAGGTCTTCGTGGATTATCGGGGAAGTTGCTACGAAACAATATGGTGAACTGCCCAAGTTAACGTGTTGATTTTTCATGTTGTCATGTTTTTTCATGCCATGTTAATAAACATGGCATCACCCCGAATGGAATATGGCGAGTCCAAGAAAGTAGACAAGTTTTCATGCACCCTCATGATACAGTTATCAAATGAAGAGTTTCAAGGCGAGCAATATCAAAATGGCGGAAAACAAGATAGTCGCTATACTAATTTCGGCTGTAGTCAGGAAATATTTGGTGGTTCTCGAACAATTGTAGGAATCGAGTATGAAATAATGACGCATTGAAGAAAACGAACAATGAAATTTATGACTGAAAAAATGAAAAAAAAATATATTTAAAAATATTTTCTGCACGAACTTTTAATCACCACATTGTCACTGTAATATGAGACATGACTAGAAAATGCAGATATGCTATTTTATGAAGTGCTTCTGGATAACTGAATAACTAATAAAATTTATAAGATATAGTGATTGTCAGATTATTCCTGTCCCTTAGTCCTTTGAATCTTAAGAATCATTAGAAGAGCTATTTCTCCTGGACAGTTCACTAGTATCAGGAATACAGTGACAAATTTATTCAAGGAGACAGAAAAACTTCAGCTCCATGACAACAAGTCCGATGTATGGTATTTCACCCAATAATATTGAGTGATTTCGAAGGTTTTGTCCGTTTCAATGTTATTTGTTTTTGTAGCTCCATATCCTAATGGATATTCATTCTAGTATGTCTTAGTATATAGGTAAGGTTAGGTCCAAAGTGAGTGGGTCTATTCGACTCTCCACCGCAACCCGCAAGGTTTTATTGTGGCCACACCTATTCACACTCGACCAAATGAACCCTCGCTCCTGAAATAAATTCACAGGGACGTCAGTTGGAGTCGTAAACTCGACCTCCATCTCCTCTGTAGACTCGCTCCTGAACTAAATTCACAGGGAGAACAGTTGGAGTCGTAAACTCGACATCCATCTTCTCTGTAGACTCGCTCCTGAACTAAATTCACAGAGAGGTCACTTGGAGTCGTAAAATCGACATCCATCTCCTCTGTAGACTCGCTCCTAAACTAAATTCACAGGGAGAACAGTTGGAGTCGTAAACTCGATATCCATCTCCTCTGTAGACTCGCTCCTGAACTAAATTTACAGGGAGGTCACTTAGAGTCGTGAACTCTACATCCATCTCCTCTGTAGACTCGCTCCTGAACTAAATTTACAGGGAGGTTAGTTGGAGTCGTAAACTCGACATCCATCTCCTCTGTAGACTCTGTAGCCGGATACAGACACCTCAGGATTGAGTCTTCGTTGGAATAACAAAATCACAAGTGATTCTGTCCTTCGCGTATCCAGCGGGGCTACGTGGAAGCAGGCATCCGATGGTCGGTTTGCTCAACGCTCACATCCCAAGCCAATACAATCGCCAAAAACAGCATGCACAGTGGTTCGGACAGTGAAAGATGACGAAAGACATCCAACCCGCCCCATGGTATATATTGATCGATAAAGAATTTTGTTCTCTGTATATTGGTGCTGTTTGTATTTTCCAAATTTCGATTTTTTGTTTATTTTCAGCTCATTATTATATATATAATGTCGTTTTTGATGTTTCAAAACAGGATGGCCAACTCCTTTTCCCCAAAGGACCACTTCAATACTAAAAGCGTGGGCCGCTCAAAAAATTTAAGGCAAATTGAGGCTATACAAATATATAACAAGTACACCCTTTGATTTTAATATAGCTTTTTATAAAAAAGTTTAGCAGAACAAAATCAAAATGACATAAGTTATATGGAATAGGTACTCAGTTCTAGTTGAAATGAACGTAGTATTGCGCCAAACATTTTTGAACGTCTTGAATAGATTATGAATTTCTTCAAGGTTTTCTACAATTCAACTGAAAAAACTCATTATTGAGAACACTGAGGGCGGGCACAATCGTTCACTAGTTCATGATAATCAATTCGTATTGAGGTGGTGGCCACCTTTAGCAGATCTTCAAGATGGTTGTCTGTGAGTCTGTTTCGGTGAGTTGACTTTATAAATTTCATTGTGGAAAAAGTGCTCCCACAAATATATGTGCTTCCAAACATTGAAACATTTTTTTTACTGGAATCACGTAGTTTGTGATACTTTTCCTCAGGCAACCTACTCCAGAATTCAACACCAGTTTCCGGTCTTTTCTGGAAAAGTGGGCCACTTTGCAAATCACAGAGCTCCAACTGTATGTCGTCATCTTGCTGAGGAATGTCACATGTCATAATATGAATGATATGTTTACTTGAAACATTATTTAAATGTCTCCGTATGAGAAATTAGTTGTTTTCCTTTGGAGAGAAGCATTTTTTATTGAAATGCTTCTATTTGTATAAATCAAATAAACTCACTTACTTCATTAAAGATGAACTTATGCTTCTGTTTATAAACTGTCCCTCTCATTTGGATGTATTCAGTTTCTTGAATCCAAAGTATCTCATCTGTAATATGAACAGCTATAAGTGGTAAGGAAAGAAACTAAATAATACATTACATATTATGATTGGTTTATTTGAATCAATTGCAAATCATAAATATTATCCTAAAAAAGCATGTGATAAAAAACAAAACGTAATAGAGAACTAAATTTTCTTTGCTAATCTTTGCTTAAATATCATATTCCAACCGCACACTTTATAGTTATAAAATGGAATCGAAGCCTATAAACAACATTACAACTCAGACAAGAAAATGAATTGATTTATTAGTAATTTTACACAAATGAAGTCTTTAGAACTAGATGTCATTCTGGTAAATAACATTAAAAAATCACTATCGTCGATCAAGTTCTGCATTCTGCTTTTGTTTATCCACAATTGCCAGAACATCACTTGGATTCTGAAACGAAAGGAGAAATCAGCGCATCATCCTTAGACACTATTTCAATTATATAGAAAGGTAAAAATATGAAAACAGCAGCCACTCAATGAAAAAAATGTTTTTTCAATAAAACATTGTTGTTCGAAAGCGAATAACAACCCTCAAAATCTCAAAGTTGTCTGAGGTCTTATTATTTAACATACGATTCCTAGCAAGTTGAAAGGTGCTTAAACATTATTTGATTAGAAATAAATAATAATCAATTCAAAAGACGTACCTCAAATCCCTTCGAAGTGGGCAGAAGTCTAAACAGAAAAATTGCCTTTCAAAATAATAAATTTGGAACCGTTATAGAAATTATCGGAGGATCGATGGAAAATATAAAATGTTTCATTAAAAAAATATAACTCATGATCATACAAACAAACTTAAAGGTTTATGATTCGCTATTAAAATAACAGCATCCACTGTTTTCACGTGGATGCTGTTATTTTAAAATCGCAAAATCGCATTCACCAACATAACTTTCCAACACATACTGGCGCGTACGCGATGCTTACAACGGAATTCCCCGCTCCCCTCTCACTTAAGAGGGTCACAGGTTTTCTCAAACTGAAATGAATGAAATACTTCTTCAAAAGAAACCCTGTTCATTCTATACAAAATTCCTGTTATTTTCAGTCGATCATAATATAGTTATTTGAAGGGATACACTATTAAATTCAAGCAAACAATATGTGTTCAAATCAAGTTGATATTGTTCTCCATTTGAAACAGTTTATTTTTCCCTTCAAATAGGTGGTGGATTTTGAGGTGATATTATATTTTCTTGATTCACAATAGTTCATCTTCGCAATTATATAATCAAACGAATGATGTCGTTGAAAGGCCAAGAATTTGATTTCTTTGTTCTTGATTTTCTGGTGGAACAAGGCGATGTTGGCATAAAGTAATATTTTTTCCAATGAAGATAAAAATTTCAAAGCAAACTATGATCTTCTATTAAAGAAATACGCCTTACTGTGTATCACAGTAGAGTGAGGAAATCAACGAAATGTACCGAAAATTGCATCAGCAGCAGCCTGCACTGGTCAACAGAGAAGACCCGACAAACATCTGCACGTGACACAAATCACCGTCAGAAAATCAAACGAATTCAGTGTCGAATTTCTGCGTCATCCACCACACTCTCCAGACCTCTCGCCAACCAAACTACTATCTTTTCAAGTACTTTGATAACTTCCTCATCGGTAAAACCTCCGCCAATCAGGACCAGGCAAAAACCGACTTCATCAAATCCCGGGTACACAATTTACATGCTGTAGTAATTGATAGCATAATGTTACGTTGGCAAAAGTTAATTGATTCAACTGACGCTTATTTCGATTGAATTAGATGAATATTCTCTGAAATATAACAGTTTGAAGTACATTCAAAAACAAACAAACTTTTTGAAATAACCTCATCAAATTCTGAATGTAATCTAGCATATAATATTAGAATCAAATGTGTCAATGACGATTTTGGATATTTCATCAGTTCATTCAATTTCAGGTCCAGGCTATTGGGGACTCATGAATCCTCAGTGGAATATGTGTTCAAAGGGCCGTAGACAATCTCCAATCAATGTGGAACCTGATAAGTTGCTTTTTGATCCCTACCTCAGGCATATTCACCTAGATAAACACAAAGTGAGTACTTTTTTCAAAAAATTCTACAATTTTACATATTTGTTATTGTAATGGAGAATTTTTTACAATGTGGCAGTCGTACAGTTGAGGAAAAATCGATGATATCTCTTCTAACGAAGACATCATATATGGAATCCGTAGCAAAATCGATCCTTGAATATCAAGTATATATCAAATCCTTCAATGTGAGCTTTGGTGAAGCCAAGCGTCAACATAGACCAGCAAACGAAATTTGTCCTTTGTCTTCCAAAGCAATTTACACTACAAGGATTCAGGATGAAATCATTGTCCAAAAACGAAGTATTCTCGATGCAACACCACACAGGCTATTTTGGACGGTGATGCTGAGCTGAAATACAAATGTTTTGACGGACTCAACTGTTCTTGAAAGACAAATCTGTGAAAGTTGAGCCAATGACTCCTCCTCTCACGAAGGTGACATCTATAGAATCGACAAAGTTAATCATACATCGGATATTGAAGAATATTTTCAGTGGTCCGTTGCACCACTGGTGAGAACTTGGCAGGTCGAGATGGCGCTGTTTGATGTTCGATTGTGAATACTTTATCTTCTTTGCTCTTTTTAAACCTTTCCTGAAGAATGGGACATTTCAGGTCATAAAAAAGACATCTTCGTCTTACAACAAAATTTTGTTGGTCAGCTCAAAGAGCATGTGTTGTCATCAAAAAATTGGAAAAGATTCACCATCGATGGATGTTGGTGTTGAAATTGTCACCCTGTATAAACAGGAGCTGTAAGAGGGAGTACTAATTTTTCTTAAGGACAAAGTACAAGCCCTACAAAAAAATTCCCGAGGATCAAATACAGCGACTAGCTTGTTTAGACATCACAGGAGCCATGAGAACAACACCAACCGCGGCAATGGAATTAATCACAGGTCTGACCCCTCTGGATCGGTACGTTAAGGAGGTTGCGTTAATGGCCATGGTACGATTGCGCACGGCTGGTGTAAACCTCGAAGTAGGAATGGGTCAATTGAGGCTGGGCCTATGGCTGGACACAGAGTCAGATGCTACAAATGCAATACGGAGTTATACAGACGGCTCAAAAACCAAAGAAGGCTCAGGATGTGTAGTGTACTCCAGATCACTAAGCCTAAGGGTGAAAAGGAAGAAATACCAGCGTGGTCCAAACAGAACTGGCTGGTATCTCAATCGCCACAAAAGAAATAACCAAGAAAAAAATTTCGGGCAAAAACATAACAATCTGCACTGATAGCAGACAAGCACTATTAGCCTTGAACAGACAGCGTGTTACCTCACGGCTAGTACTAGAGTGCCACCAAGATTTAGCCAAAGCTTCGGTAGATAATAACATTATCCTGAGGTGGGTTAAAGGGCACGACAGAAGTAAAGGTAATCGCATTGCCGACTCTTTAGCCAAAGAAGCGGCTGAACTAAGAATTTTAGGACCCAGTGGCACCCACGGCCTGATGACTCCGACAATTGCGGAAATAGTCAAATGTTACCCCCATGCTCAATCCTTGAAGAGATGGGATGAAATCAAAGGATGTAATCTTGCCAGGATCACCTTGGGCGACCCTGGGAAGCTGGCGCCCAAGAAATATCTGGCGATGACCAGGAAAAATCTACGCCTTACAGTAGGATTTTTGACTGGCCACTGTCAGCTAAGGAAACACCTCCATAATATGGGGCTAGTGGACACACCTCTATGCAGGATGTGTAACAGGAAGATGAGACTATCAGGCATGTCCTGTGCGAGTGCCCGGAGTTATCGTCAATAAGAGAGTGTGTGTTCGGCGAGTCTTGGCCTACACCTGCCGATATAAAGGAGATGTCTCCCAGCGACCTGTCCACCTTCCTGGAAAGGACAGGATGGACGATGACCTAGGAGGACAACTCCTCGGGAGGATGTACAATGGGTCACATGTGGCCTAAGTGCGTGAGCTCACACTCACCCTCCCTATTCTACAGCACAGAAGCTCTTAGCTCTTCATGTTTCTCGATAGCGTTATTCTAAATATGGGTGACATACTATAGAAGGTCGTTCTGTTCCCGAAAGCAATATTAATAATCGCTCAATATGTTCAAGCCTTCCAAATATTCAAGAATATTGTGGTTTACGGCAATATCACTGATAGCAAATCGACCGGTCTATAGTTATTTGAAAGATTTTTCTTGCCCTCTTTAGAGATAGGCCTGAACAAGAGCAATCTTCCAACAAGAAGAAAAAACCCCTTCCTTATAAGACAGGTTAAAAAGCCTGCAAAATACTGGTGCGAGTTCCTTGGCACACTTTTCGAATACGATGTCAGGAACTTCATCAGTACCAGACGACTTGTTGATATTTACGCTTGACCAGACGTTGTCGAAAAGTAATGAAAATTGGAAAAAGTAGAATCATGTAATTGATTAGATTTCAATTAGTATTCTATAATGTCATGTGCAATTCAATTCGAACACAAACCCAATAGCAGCCAATGGTGCGTCCATTTGACGTACTGAAACCCCTAAATCATTTACCACCTGAAGCCTTGAATCGTTTCGAACGCCAGCAAACATTGAATATTTGATATATGAGGAATGATGATGGCAGCGCCGAAAGGAACTCGCCAAACCCCGCGCCATCTATCATTCAATCAGAGTGCAAGCGGTTTGCGGCGGACCACTAATGACCCCAGCCATTATACACAGGCTACACTGGAAATTCCTCCGGCATTTCAAACATTGTTATTCAAAAGTTCGGTAAAAAATTCAATTATCTTAAAAACAGCTAATGTTACCGTTAAATCCTTGGACGGGATTCTGGCGGAGCTATTTTACAAGCAGATTGAGTTCATTAAGAGTTGTTCTTTCAGCGGATTCTCGTTCCGGTTTTTGTTTATACTGGCTTTGCTGCAGATCTGATTTTTTTTATGTGATTTTTTCTCGACAAAGTCGGTATACTGTTTAGTGGGGGGAGATCTGCCATGAATGTGAATGAGGTTGATGAACAAATGATATGATATATATATATATATATATAT